TATCGAAAATAATACGATAATAAAGGTACGATTAAATAATATCGAAAATAATACGATAATAAAGGTACGATTAAATAATATCGAAAATAATACGATAATAAAGGTACGATTAAATAATATCGATGAAGAATGTGAATGGATATGTTAAAATTTTATAATCATATCATATTTTTAATGGAATATTTTGATCGAAAAAATCAATAATTAAAGATGGAAAAATTAGAAAATCAATAATCGATAATTACTATTAGCATAAAGAAAAAAGAAAAAAAAAGGAACAAATGAATCATAATTATATTTTTGTTTCTATAAAAATTATTTATGATTAAATGAAATTTTCACATAAAAATTTTTTACAAATGGATATAAAAGAGAGTAAAAATATTATTTCACCCTTTTTTTTTTCTTTTGTATGCTACCTGAAAATACTTTACCTTTTATACTCACTTAGTAATATCAATTTAAAATAGTTAATTGTTTTAAATCAAAAAAAATTTCTGTATTTGAGTAATACGATAAATTTTTATGTGAAATTAATTACAAATTTTTTATTTAAATTAAACATTCTTTTTTTCTTTTCAATAATAATTCTTCCTTTTATTAATTACGAATTTATTTCGAATTTTTTTAATTTTTTTTTTAATTAAAACAAATTATTTTAATTTATTTCATTTTTTATTTCGAAAATGATACATTTCTTTTCTTTTTTACACTTTCTCTTAATTTGTATTATTGAACGTAATAAAGTAAGCAATAAAAGGAATTATTTAATGAAAGGTTAAAAATTACAATCTAATTGATATAAGTATATTGCGTGTACATTTAAATTGCTTATCTTATCGATAAAATTAAAGAATTTAACTTATCAGCTATTGATAAAGATATTTTTTGTGACATTTTATCAAAGTATTTCAGCAAACCAAATATCATATTGGTAATAAATTATTTACTTCATAGGTATCTTTGTTTATTTACCTTCATAGATAATTATTTACTTCATAGGTATCTTTGTTTATTTACCTTCATAGATAATTATTTAATTTATAGGTATCTGTGTTAAGAAATTGAAAAAAAAATATTGTAGCAAACATTATTTTATTGTTTCTCTCATTTAGCTATTACAAAGCATAGGTATGATAATTGGACCAGTACTTTATTATTGTATTTTCGTGTCCAATCAAGTTTCAACCTGATCTCCAGAATCATAATAATTAATACCAAAGGAACTTCTATCATTTAATGAATTACAAAATATCATGTAAATTTCGACTCAATGTCATGAATCTGCCCGTAATAATATCTTAAATCTTTAAAATAAACTCAATTTTGTAAATAGATATAATCATGGATATGCTTGAAGTTGCTTCATACCACAATCTCATATCCTCCTATGGTGAAAATGTAGAACTTTACAAAATGACCGACCGTATGACTTTTTTGCTTAAATTGGAGAAAAGGTCGAAAATAAATGAAATCATGAACTTCGAATTTGTTGTATGATTGAATTTTGTTAATCCTGCAATTCAACAAAGGATAAACGTGCAAAAAATTTTCATTCAACTTGCACAGCTATGCAATAAATGGAAGAAAAATAGGGAAGCAGTGTTAAAATGACTTAAACCAAAAAGTAAATACAGAAATGACTGAAAGTAAACAACTAATTGAAAATCGAAAAAAAAAAACCATCAAGCAAATACAAAGATTTCGCCGCATATTTTTAAATTAGTATTAAAACAACTAAATTCACATATAAATATGTTAAATACCACTTCATAATGGAAATATTTTTTCGCAAGTAAACGCAATGACGGATAAAAAGAATCACTTCCTTTTACATCCTGCATACTTATAATGCATCGTGTTATTAGAAGTTAACTGGTAATTTTGTAGGGATAGCAACAAATACAACATTACTATCATCAAGATAGGTTTAGAGTAGGATAATAAAATGAACCAAAATCAGGAAAAATTATAAACCTACTAACTTTACTTGGAGCAGTAATGTTTTCTGCAGGGATGCGAATAATTTTGGAACAAAAAATAATTTAAATCAGACCTCTAGAATTTTTCTCTCATAAAATTTTTCCAAATTATTAAATTTTCTGAATTATTAGATTTATTTAGATTAAAGTTCTTTAATTTATACCTCTAAAATATAATAATCAATAGTGAGAAAAAAATCCTTAAGAAATGTTTTGCTTTACAATCAAATCATCCTGTGAATCATTAAGTGCCACAATAATAACGGAGACATTATCGCCACACCCTCGTTTTACCGATTCTGCAGCCAAGTCATCCGCAACATTCTGCCAAATCATTTCGCGTGTTTCTAATTTTTGCTCAACACCAGGCTAAAAAGGAAAAAATATGTCAAATTCGAAAATATCCATCAAAAGAAAAATGATTCTTAAATATGCAAACCTTTGTTAACTGCCTGATTTTTGTCATAACGTAATCTACAGCCTGCTGATTGCTGAACGTTTTCCACAAACCATCACAAGCAATAAGGACAAATCTAAAGCATATATCTTTAATCGAAGTTTAAAATTTCGCAATATTAGCCCAAAAATGATCCATACGAACTGTCAATATCTAAAATCTATGAAGATTTAATAATCTATCCGTCATATCCAACAAAGTCCCCAACGACAACAACTAATTAAAAGGAAAACATCCTAAATAACAATAACCAACAATCGTTATGATCTGTATTATACGATTATAACGCAACGATAAAGCTATCAAATAATCAAAAAAAAAATTCATGTTAATGCTTCATCAATTAAAATTTCGATCTGTTCCCTGATTTAGATATCGATTATGTTGCAGAAATAAGAAATCAAAAAAACTAACACGTCATCCTTCGTAATAGAAAATTTCTTAACATCAGGTGTACAAATGAGTCCATATGCCTTGAACTGACCATCCCCAATCGATCGGGAAACTTCCAAAATGCCCATTATACGACCATCCCTCAAATATTTCATTTCAAAAAAACGAAATGTATGACAGTGAAATCCGCTGCTCACAAAATTTCAAATTGAATAAATGGATATATTAATAAACTTACTTGACATTACCACCTGCCTTCTGAATTCGCATCCGTTCTTCGAAATGCAATGGAGAGTGATCCACTGTTAACTGCATCGCAACATCCTTTATTTCTTCAGTTCCTGACTTACTACGACAAACTACTGCCTAGAAGGTATAATTTGCCTACCAACTTGTATGATTTAATCCAATCCATAATTTCACACAAAGAAACTCCCTCGGATGCGTAGAGTTATGTTAGATTTATGCATAAACTTACACACACATCTATATCTAACTATTCCTATTTCGAAATTTTTTTTTTGCTTCATAATAATCTTACAGTTACAGAGGATGGAACTTGGATAGTTTTTAGAAAGACCTTTGAATCGCCGATGTTCGCACAGTAAATAATATTGTTAATCAGCAGAATTGTGGTCGCTGTTGTGCCATCTTTCCATGAAGGTCTCCTTTAATAGAATGACGTTTTTTAAACGAAGGAAGGGAAGACAGAAACATAATTTACAAAAATTACAAATACAGCATAATGGAGAACTAACGTTCGACGAGCCTCAACCAGAAATTGTTCATCGATCTGCTTATATGTATCGATGAAGCACTTTTTTATTCCTTTCTCCAAAGAAGCGAAATCGGAATCTGGAATCACTATCGATGCCATAAATAACTGATACTTTTGCAAGACTTAGACATTAACTATTTGACTACAGTTAATTCGACCTCTATGGTTTATATTTCCGTTTGGAACAAAGCGATGAACTTTCATATTACTTAAATTGCAGACCGTTTTTCATGATGATCTGTTCGTAAAATATATTTAGGAAAAAATATTTTGCTCCTAACATTCTTCTGTTAACAAAAACGAAAAATCATGATAATTTTTCTTTTTTTTTCCGATTTGTTTGTCTAAGCAATCTTATCCTCAAGCTTCATCTCTTTTGTGGTTAACGATTCACCTTGATTTCGAGAGCTCAAAATTTGGCAGTTTACATCTAACGTCACTTATTACTACGACAAACAGAAATGAATGTAATTATCAAAGATAAAACCTACATGCATCCAATTTTCTCTTCAATCTAGATGGCAAACGTTCAGCAGCAAAATCTGCAGCTCGACGTCCAGCATGACCATCAAAAATCGCATAAAAAGCACTTCGCTGACTAAAAAAGTATGAAGTGAATAAAACTGATCCAGACTGTTAAAAGACATTTTGTGCTTCATTGTATTTGTTACATGTTACAGATGGTGGTGAGTCCGAACTGATCCAATCGAACATGTGCATCTTGCATATCCTGACGTTCACCTTTCCGCCAACCACATACGCTAACCAGTTTACCGACTGCAACCAAATTTCATTTAATAATAAAGACTCACAACAAGTCCATATTTTCACTTAACCACCAGGAATCGCCTTAAAACTAAAATAAATTGGACTAAATCCTTCCAAATAAAGATAATGCCTTCTCGAAAAGGATGTGTAGTACATAAAAAGTGAAGGCACTGAGGAATGGACAATCAAAGACGCGCCTTTTAAGAGAATGAAGCAATCGTCCACCTACCAGCACCGTCATCTTCACCAGTCTTGCTTGACCCTTCGGAATTTGCACTCTCGTTTCGGGATCTTTTCGACGTGTTACAACTGGAATCCGCACCGATATCATTTGCATTTGTGGTATTTTCTGACTTTTCAGCAGCAGTCGAACCAATATCCAAATCATGATAAAGTGACATTGTTAGTGGTGGCACCATTTTCCTTTTTGTTGCCATTTTAGCTTCAAATAAAAATATCTACTCAATACATTAGAATGAGATTATAAACAAGTACAGGATATCAGTACATTGCAAATGCCAAGACAGACTCAGTAAAGTGTAAATAAATAAATAAAGTACACAAGATATCAGTCAAAACGGTCACATTTGCACATATTATTTACAGTGTATACATATACATATATGCATGCATATACATATACATCACTTAAATTACCAAAACCTGATCCAGTACCAGTTTTGCTGTGTGAGACACTGCTTGATTCCAGTTCAAATGTTAACTGAAGTCTTTGGTGTTGAAAAGAGCTATAAGAGAATATTCGCTGTACATTATTAGTTTTGCAAATAACAAGAAATCGAAAAACTCACTAGCACAAGGATTAACTTGAAAATATCATCAGAAAAATCCACCGAAAGCCCACATATCTCCCATTAATGTGGAAAAATAATAAAAAGCACTAGCAGTTTCTACCGGATAACAATCTGTGCAAACAGATAAAATTTTCAAACAACAGAGCCTGAGAAGCATTTATTGAAACATCATCAAACAACAAAAAATAAAAATAAAGCCATAAGAATTTCATCCAAAACATCCACAGCATTTTATTTCAGCATAAAATTTGTGGAAAATATCAAACAGCGATGACTTTCGAAATGTCAACAATTTCTTTCTAAAGTCAACATGAAAACGAAGGAGAAATAATTTATAGTAAATGGCCTCACTGAACCCCTGCTTTGTTTCGATTCCATCCATGCTGACTACCACCACGACCTGTGCCACGATTACTAGAAGATCCTCCTCGTGCGCCACCCCGAGCTCCCTGTAAATTACGCTTGGCACGTTGTTGGTCTTTCTGTTGTCTACGTACTTCCTTAACCTGAAACCAGAAGTTTTCACTTGGTGTTAGCTCATCATTAAAGCAGAATAGATGAAAGTGGAATTGTGAAATATGGTTTTCTCTCAGATGATGCACAGTGCACATTTCGAATGATTACGACCTTGGAACTCTGAAAAAGAAATACAAAAGCTTCTGAAAGAGCAACGAATAGGGGATTTACCTCTTCTTTTACCAATTCTACCACATCGTCCGGAATCCGCAAATACTTGATCGTTGAACCTCGTACATATACTTCCTGCATTTTTAGGAAGCGATCCCCATCCTAACAAAATTCTCAATTAAATATAATTCGGAAAACATCTAACAAAGTCAAAAAAGAGAAAGTGAGCGAACTGCTAAAGAGAAATCACATCAGTCAGAATTATTCCATGTATTCGTTGTTGCTACTCTTCAACATCTAACACTTATATCTCTGGACAGGTTAACTTGTGAAAAATATATTCCTGAAGAAAGCGGAATTCCATCTTATCACTTCAGAAGTCAGATAAGGAAACATTATGAAATCCACATAATTATGTGGTCTTAAATGCAGAGCTCAATCACACAAAACGAAACAAAACCTGCAAGATAAACGGGACTAAATTTTGATGGTTGGCCAAATCTCAAGCTGCAGCAGCAATTGATGACGTATAACAAAAGTGACTTACACGTGATGTACAGATAGCATCCCTTAAATGGATATTCATCCACGCATCGCATGCAACCAAATGTCCATTATAAGTTTCGCCACTTTTCAATTCAACTAACATTGGATGATTCTGCGCTGTGCGCAAAAGTGACAGTGGTAACTGAAGAGAAAAATTAACAGTATACTTTACAGATATTTAAAATTGTCAAAACATTAATCTTTGATCATCTAAAGTATTTTTTAAATCCAGAAATATTTTCGATTTTTTAAGCTACTAAAATTTCATTTGCTATAAACAGATATGTCATTCGGCTATGAAAACAAGTGGATGAAATTCATCCTCATATCTATAACACTGAGTAAGGTAACTCCCTTTTTTTTGCACTGATAAAACGCTATAATGAAAGATCTGTGATTAAAAAAAAAAATCAATAATGTCCCAATAATAATATAACAATATGATAGTAATAAAAATCAATAGTATAATGATTAAAAATCAATAGTAGTGCATAAGAATTAATTGGTAGAATACGAACCCATAATACTTACCACCATACTTCTACGGAAAAATACGATATAACAGTAGAGAAGTTATCCTGAAATAGCACTGAACTTCTCGAGAAATATTGTGAAACATCAAAATATCCATTTAAACGAATGAATTAACAAATAACAGAACAGACGATCAACATTAACGAACCCAACTAATTAATTAATCAATCAGTAAATACGAAATGCAATAAGCTGCCGTCCCACCGTTGAACACCGATCGGGCAATATGGGAAGTAAATTACGATTGGGACCAAAGTTGATTATGGGCATGATGGCACGTAATGGCACGCTTCATACGTCTCGCAAAACATCCATCAATTTATAACTTAATGGCACGCTTCATACGTCTCGCAAAACATCCATCAGTTTATAACTTAATGGCACGCTTCATGCGTCTCGCAAAACATCCATCAGTTTATAACTTAAGTTCTACGTAAACTTCACGTGACTATTTTTTATTTTTTATATTTATGGTTTACGTTTTTGATTTTGTATAACGTTACATTTTGTATATCGTTATATTGCATTATGCTGGCATTTCATTACACTTGTTGTTATGTTTGGTATCTTATATAATATTATTGTATTTCTTAACCTATGTGATAAAGTAACGTTAACATAACTCATAACGATAATGTAATGTTTGTTTAATAACATAACATTTTTTTATTTGTAACGTAATAACGTAACGTTTGTTTTCACTTTGTAACGTAATAACGTAACGTTTGTTTTCACTTTGTAACGTAATAACGTAACGTTTGTTTTTACTTTATGGCGTGATAATGTAACGTTTGTTTTCACTTTGTAGCGTGACAACGTAACGTTTGTTTTTATTTTTTAACATGATAATGTAATCTTTGTTTGGTAACGTAACGTTTGTTTAATAATGTAACGTTTATTTCTACTTTGTAGCCTGATGACGTAGCCAAGCAAGCATATACCGTTACACTTGACATTTTCTACGGTGGGCCACGTTTTACTTTGCGCAATAGAATTCGATGAGGAAAAAAAAACCACGATAATTAGCAAAAAAGAAAATCATTGTTTGTTAACATTTAATCCTGAATTTTCACGTTGAAACATTCTTATAATTGATGATGCAAATATTATTTATGGAAACATATTGAATACGTAAAGTTTAATGAAATGAAATGAATTTGATATAGAATACGGAATGAATTTTACGAAATAAAGAAAATTTTCGAGTAATTAGTTCATGTTAAAGGATAGTTTTATTAAAGATTTGTTGTCTCAAACATTTAATTAGCTTAATTAAAACTGTAAGTTACTAATTAAAAAAAATGAATCCCGTAATATAGTTCACTTGTTAAGTTTCTTTTTTTGCAAGTATATATTGTACAATATTTGTGAAATGATTGTTTACAGCTAAATGCTAATGTTTACAACGAATTTATTAATGATAAATTACAATAAAATAATTGCATTATTAATAATGATATTAATTGTAGTAATGTAATCCATTTTCAATGATACAATATCACTAATATAATTATCGTAATTTTCTTATAAATTGTTGCTTAATTTTTTGTTCGTTAATTTTAGTTTCGGAATTTCTAAATTTATCTTATCTGTACAAATGTTTGTGTGTTTTCCTTTTTAATTTAATATATTATGTGATTATATTTTTTGGAGAAAAAAAATAATAATAATAATTCTTGCCATTACAGCTGAGATTATTTTAATCATTAATTTATTGTATGTAGAATACGGAATGTGTAATTCGGGATAGAAATGGTGATGGCATACTGTAAGCACATCGTCTATAATACAATTCATTGCGCATGTTACAATTTTCCAATAATATTTCATCCTGAAATTATTATTCCGGCTTAATTAATTATCTTTCAGATTTAATTCGCCATGACAGTGTTAAGCGCTAGGAAGGGATCTATTTATCGTATGTATTTCAGATTTGGAAAAAAAATAAAAATGCAATTTTAGTTTGAAAAATCAAAATATATTCGTTGTAATGTTCGAAAAAAATTTTAATTAAATTTGATTTGAAATTCATGAGAAGAATTTTGCTTTAGTTACTAAATTAGCTGCTAATGAATTTATCATATTTCATCTATGAATACGTCTGAAAATTATTGTTGTGAGCTAAGGTTTTGTAAATTTATTACTCGAAATTGTAATTTTTCAAAGAAATTGCTAGAAGAAATGTTTGTCGTATCTAATTTTGCGACTTAATTGTAAATTAATTTTATGTTGTTCGATAAAACAAAAAAATTATCAAATTAATTTTACATTGTTTGATAAAAAGAAAAAATTTACTGCGAATTGAAATTGCAGATTGTATACTCCCAAATCGAATTGTTGCAAAGCTTGATCCCCATCATATACATACTTTTCTGGTATTTTTACAACAAATGTGCGCCATAATTTGAACTTAAAAATAAGAATTATTAGTAATTTTGGTATTTTATAAAGATAAGAAAGTATGAATTTAATTTTTGAATTTAGAAATACTTTGAATTTAGAAGAAAAAAATTAAAGAAATATTTTTACCAACAAAGATAAGAAATTCTCTTACCTTTGGCCAAGATTTACTAATGGAATAGCAACAAAGATAAGAAATTCTCTTACCTTTGGCCAAGATTTACTAATGGAATAGCAACAAAGATAAGAAATTCTCTTACCTTTGGCCGAGATTTACTAATCGGTAATTCATCAGCATCACATCGATGATAAACATAAATGTATGGGTTCACTTTAGTTTCACTTTGATAAGTTGCATTTATTGTAAACTCACCATATTCATTTGTATTTGTTCGAGCAAGATATGCATCATTTGGTCCTTCATAATTAATATAGCATTATTAAATTAATTAATATTAATTAATACTTGTAATCATTAAATTTTATTATTTCATCAAACAATACATAGTATGATAAAATTTTGGATAAACAAAATATGCAAAATATTAATATTTGATAAATTTGATAATTTCCTAAAATTATTACTTTTTTTTCCTGTTTCTTTTGAATTTAAAATAACAATTATACTAGCAAATTTTATTATCATATTAAAAGTAAGCTATAAAATATGATATAAAATAATCAATAAATTTATGTTACCTCTTCTTTGCATTAAAATATATATTATCGATTTTAACAATGATCGTTCATCATCCCATAATTCAATTGCTGCTCGATGTAATGGTTTTTCACCGCACATAAATTGTCCATGAATTTCAAATGATTGTTTACGCATTATAAAACCATTAGCATTGCTAATTAAAGCTAATATGATG